TTGGTTATCAAATCTCTTGAAGTACAGGCTGGCTCGACACTAGCACCTGCACGACTGTGGTGTGCACAGTGTCTTTAGCTAAGCTAACCTTTGTGATAGAAGGTTAAATTACAGACATGAGATTGGTATTGATTGTTTAATTTTCTCCCAAAATGTAGTCTTAAATAGGGCATTTCTGAGTAAATAAGTTGATAATGTTTAAGTTTAGCAGGACTGTGCAGGAAGCAATGAAAAGAAGGCCTGAGATAACTTTTTTCCCCTTTTAATAATCTGCCCTGCAGGTTTTGGCTATAAAAAAACTTGTGTCCTAAAGGGTAAACAGTCTGGCATTATTTTGCTCGAAGGACACAGTGTACCTCCCGCCTCTTCAGCCTGTCACATCACCCCTACACCCACAACCCATTCTCTGAATTCCCAAGCTGATGTATCTGAATGGACAGAGAGACTCTGTGCCCAGAGAAGTCACGTTCAGTAGAACTGACAGTCCCGAGAACACCGTTTCTGTCAAATGCAAGGACAGCCAATTTCTCTGTCTTATCTTCTAATTGTAACAAGCTTGTCTTTCTGACAGTTAAGATCCTAGGGCTAATTAGTGAGACAATGGAAGACCAGGGGTATCATTATGTCACTTCTGTGGTGTTTTTTTTTTAACCTAGACTGAAAGAATGGCAGAACATGGAGCACACCACAAGGAAAACACAATTCCACAGAGAGCAATAGCTCATCCTCCAAAACACAACTGTGTCAGGGAAAAACATTTATCAGACTACTGATTTGGGAATAGATTCACCATGACTCAGAATTCCCACATCGCCTTTTTACAAAGCCTCCCTGGTGACATGAATAGGGAAAATATTGCCGTGTCGCCACAAGATGTTTTTGCTTCACGCGATATTATCTCTACAGAGCTCTCCAGCTGTGGTCTGTAAACAACAGAATCTGTATCTTGTAGCCACGCATTATTAAGATGTGAACACAATCCAGCTATCACGTTCCCACGCCTTGTTAGCTCATAGCCAGGAGTCATTGATCTTGTTGCCTCACAACAATATTTTTTACCACTCATGTAACCAGGGGGCCTCCTTTTCATTTTTAGAGTTAGAATGAAGATCTTTATATTTGTGTGATTTGTCTTACTGATATCTGGGCATGTGTGCATATGTTATGAAGTACGCTGGTTTTCAGAGGAAGCAGGGTATAATCAGTCAAATCAGTTGTGACTCACACAGTGCACACCACGTGCCAAAGGTCTCTGCTAACAGTTTCCATAGTGGTGACTTTTAGGTGAATCAGTTTTATGGTATTATGATAAAATGATTTCTTATATGGCAATGAACATATACAGGAAACAGTCAGGTCAAGTAAATCTATTTATAAGCACATTTAACTACACAGGTTGACCAAAGTGCTGTAGGCGAGGTTATTCAGACATATTGTGTCATAGCAATGGTTGTCATTTCCTCCTGAGATCCCAAGGCATTCTAAGACCAAATTAGATATGTAATCCCTCTAAAGAGTTTCCTGAAAAATCTCTAAAGAAATGTTGCTAGAAAGCCTTCAAAGCAGATGCCTGAACCAACTCAGCTGTGAAGTAATTCCTTCCTAACAGGATTTTTACGAGAAATGTCAAATTTGGGTCTTTTGTATTTAAGTTTTCCCAAAATCAAGTTGGTAAATTTATAGTTCTGTTAACACAAAATCTTGTTTAGTGTTTCCCTGCTCAGTTGTGGTAGAGAAAACGCAAAAAATACATTTTTCCCTAAAGGACTTTGCTGTCTCAGATTGGCCTTAAATGCACTTAATTCCTGAAATAAGGATTGTGCCCACTAATACCGTATGTAGGCATGCTAAGGAAATAAGGTTAGGTTTTGACAGTGACCGTAAACTTCTTAATAGATTTAAAAAAAAAAAAAAACAGCAACAAAAAAAACAAATTATTAGAAAAATCAAGAAAGTAGTGCGAGCTTAAAAATTTGATGTGATACTGATTTTTCCTGCTGTAACTTCTCTGTAAATTACATGTTCCATGTTCTCTTTAACTTACTCTCATGTAGTGTGCCTCATATTAAACAATTTCCTGTAGTTGCACAAAACCACAGAAAGATACATGAGTTAGAGCCAGAAATCAGCCTTTGCACCCTGTCAAAGAATATGAGCAATGACATTATCTTTCCTGTCAGTGTCCACTAGCCCAGTCCACTATATGTAGCATTCTTTTTTTTTTAAAGATGTGTGTGGTAAAGCAGCGCAGATTAGTCATAGGATAAATGGAATATACTAGAGTAAGCATAAAATGTGATTTATTTTTATAATATTATTATACATAGATATATATACATAATATATAGTAAGCATTTCTTTTTCCAGTATTCCAGCACATACACAGATGGTGCTTAACTAATATTGCATTGATTTATATTAGAAATCTCATCCTCTACTTTTATCACATCCCATCTACACAAGTTGTTCCTTTTCTATAGCTGATGCCTTCCATTCTGTAGCCCAGGATAAGCAAATATGCCACAGAGGTAACTCTATGCTTCGGTAACCTGGGTCATGCATGCCACTGAAATGAGTAGCTGTCTAGCTGGCCAAGACAATCCCCTTCCCCAAAGCTAGTTGGACATGTCTCCTATAATAAAATAAAGATGCCCCCCCTCCCCGAAGCTTCCATCTCCCATGACCTATTTTCTTTATGGCTAACGGTTGGTGGCTAGCTGCTGAGTGGTAAATGCACAAAGGACAATACACAGATGAGAGCACACAAAATGTGATTATAACTGTTTGACTAGGATCTGACCCTAACTAAAAGACAGCTGTTTTTTGCTGAGTTAGCTATCCAGAGTAATAGTCAGTAGTGTTATTAATAGTATAATAGTGTGAGAAATGTCCTCACAAAAAGAGAGGAAAGGAAGTTGGTGATCTCCTCAAAGATGCTAATGAGGTCAGACAGGAGACCACTGCACCGACAAGACGGGAAAAGCTGGAAAGCAGGAGCTGAACAGCATGTAGTCCCAAAGGAGTAGTTGAGTCACACAGGGGGTTGGAGGCAAAAACACGACAGGGTGACATCTCTGGAGATGATACGGGAGCCATGAACTGGGAGAAGCTTAGAAGAAGCAGCAACACTTAACCACAAGACACAGCCGTAGGCCTGGCTGTGAGCACTCCGCTGGGTGTCCCTGCTGAGCCATCGTATACACAAACAGACAGAAGCAGGATACATAAAATTCAGTGCAGCCTGTGTAGAGGAAAGTCCCAAATGGTGCTGCAAATCTATTTCCACATCACAGATACACCAAGCCTACCCCAAGGATTCACACACTGTACAAACTCAACTCAATAACCTCCCCCCTCATCCGAGCCTGTGACATTTGCAGAGAAGACCTTAAAGAGGGGGATAAGAGCAAAGACAGAGCTGGAGAAACGGGGGTGGGGAGGGGCTCCTCCTCTTCCTCTTTTCTCATTAGAATTCTCTCATCAGTCTTCCCCACAGAGCAGGGGCTTGACATGTCAGGGTTTATTAATTGCTCCAGGAAATATTATTGACCTGGACCTTCTGCGCCTTCTCTCCCCACTGCGGTCGGTGTCTCTGCTCTGCTGCCTCCGCATTCCTTTGGTGTCCTGCCTGGACCCATTACAGGACACTGCGGCACAGCGTGGAGGCTTCAACACAGTGTCTTCATTGACTATGCACTTGGCCTGGGTTTTCTTTTCACTGCAGCTGCAAAGCTCCACCTCACACACACATACGCTCTCTCTCTCAGGCACACCTGCAGCTTTGGGGAGAAAAAGCGCACACTTCATTATGGTGTGATAGAAGCTCTGTGTTGGTGCCCTTTGCTGAAATTCCAACTTTTGGAATGCTTTGGTGAAAAAAAAAATCTTTTTAAAGGTGCAAACATCTCAAGGCTTATTGGTTTTTAAATCCCACCAGTAGTTTTTTTTTCTTTTTTCTTTCCTTTTTTTAAAAAGAGGTGCTTAAATCAGTCCGATGTGAATCCAGTCTGACTGCTTAAACATTAGAATCAATTAAATTATCAGGTTCCATCTACGAACGGCAAAAAGATAATTCAATTGCGACTCTTGGATGTCACTGTACAAGGACAATCTGAAAATCTGTGTGTGTGTGCAAGTCTTGTATATTTGTGAATTTGAACAAACATTTGTGTTTGCGAGCAGTGAAGGTGACAAAAGGAAGAGTATCTAATGTTTTTTGTGAAACCTCTTGGTGTGCGTCGCTTGATTTCATGCCTCGTGATCGTACTCTCAACTTGGATAGGACATTCATTTATAGCTCAACGTCATATGACATCTAGTGCTTTTGCTGGCACACATGGGGTGTGACTGTGGGAGGTTTCTTTAACTTTAAAGCCCTATTCTTGGTATATCCTGGAATTGAATTGCATTGGAAACTGCCGAAGGAAAACAGTTGTTAAGACTACTAACTTCTTTCCTAATCTGAAAATACATTGATGAGTCGAAATGGTTGTAATAATTGTGCTGCCATAACCTTAACCATCATGTGAAACCCCTTTCATATGAAATTACTTTAAATGAAAGCTTTAAAGGATGTGTTTTTCCTTGGCCTGTGTATTACCTTTGCATGCTTTATTGCTGGATTTATTAAGGAACTATGTTTTTTTTTTTTTTTACCAGATTTAAAAAAAACAAAACAAAGAACAATAAAAAAAAAAAACTGGTCTATTGTGCCACCATGTGGACATGTTTGGCATTACACTGGGGTTTTTATGACAGCACTAATGAATGACCAGGATATGAGTGTGTTGTTCCATTGTGTCCCAGCGAACTTTGCACCGATGAACACATTCCTGAAAGCAACGGTCATGAATAAAGAAATGAGCCTCATATCAACCAACCATGGCTTTTGTTTCCTCTGAATAGTGATATTATCCAACTCCCACATCAACATGAATCTTGAGTTTGCAGGCATGTCTGGCACTAAATTTAATATCCGTCTTCATTTTGTTTTTCTGCAGTCACAATGGTTCTACTTTTGTTTGTCACGACAACAACAGCAAACAATTCCACAACAGTGAACAACAACAGTAATGAGGGTAAGAGCACAAACAAGGTCACTTCTACCTTAATGTGTGAGACTGCACAGCACTCAACAATCTGTGACAGCGACCAGATCCCATCCCCACACACTGCACTCGGTGCTTTAACATAAGATATAATTATAATGCATCTTCTGCAATGCAGGCATCAGCTTGATAATCGCCTTTTTTTCTTACACAGCCTTGTTATTACCAGATCACAGTGAACTTCAGGAACCCTGGACAGTAATTTAAGGCTTATTGTACATCTTTATAAACACAGATAATGGTCGGCTGTGTGGCTGTGACTCTTGGTTGAGTCGCCACTCTAAGAGTCTGTTGTTTTCTGATCGACACTCCAGGAGGATGAAATATGCTGATGCTTATCTCTATAGACAAAATAATGCTAAGGCCAGTTATTAAATCAGCTCTGTGGCCACAAGAGTTTACTGGAGGTGCTTTGCTTCATCAAGTATTTATGTGATGAGTTCATGTGATGCACACATGAATGCTGCAGAGCATTTGCGCACACAGGCACATATATTATCAGTCTTGCCCCCTCTTCCTGTTTCTTTGTTGGTGGTGTTACATGACCCCTGGCTTTGACTTTCCTTCTCCTTTAAACAGAAACCACAGATAACGGATACATCATCTCCACTGTGCTGGTTGTGTCCCTGCTGGTGCTCATCATCGCACTGCTAGCCTGGTACTTCCTCAGGTAAAAACTCCCACCCTGCTGGGATTCAGTTACTTCACCTTATCCCTCTCCCTGCTCTTCACTCACTGGCTATTAGCCAGGCTCAGGGGCAGAGCTCCGGTGACAAACACTTCCTCCTTTAGTCATTGAGGCGGAGCCCCGTCAGGAAGTGCTGTAGGCTGACTCCCTCTCATGCTTCGAACAGAAAAGACTGTGACAGTAGAAGTAGGCAACTTAACAGAGTGAATAACAAATTCTGTACCGCATTCAGACTACAACTCTGTCTCTCCTTGACATCAGCTAATGAGAAAAAATAGCTTCTCAAGTTTCAGATGGTAGGTTGGATAGCTTTTTTTCCAAGGTTATCTTTTGGCAGATGTTATAATTTAACTACAATGAAGAACTTTGGTTAAACGAAAACAGTGTAGATGATTTTACCATGTCATCATCTTTTCTTGTGTTTTACATCGCGGTAACGTCTCTGTTCTTTTCCTTGCAGGTTAAAAAACCAGAGGAAAGCTGTAGTCACAACAGTTGACAAGAAGATACCAAATGGCATCCTGGAGGAACAAGGTAACACTGTGAGACACATTGCAGGTTGTAGAGTTAAAACGTGGTGCACAGAAACAGAAACTTGAAGTGAAAAACAGGCTAGAGATTAAGATATGCATCGATAGGGAGCTGCAAAGAGGTTTTATATTTGTAACTGTATATGCAGGTTGTCCCACCATTGCCTTGTGGTTGTTTTAAACTTCCTGTGGTTGATGTGAAAAACAAAACGCTCTATTATCTTTACCACTTTGTATAGCTTTTTGACAGCGTATGTAAGATTAGTTTGGAACATTATTGGTACAAAGGGTAGTTCTTCTCTCTGAGCAGTTTTTGACAACTTGTAGCGACATCATAATAGTTTCATGTAAAGTACCACATGACAGGAGCTATCAGCTCTTACAGGAAACTCGCTGAACTCACTGAACATGTTTCAATCTTCTTTTGGAAGTATATTTTTGTCTAACGCTACAGAGGAATGTAGAGAGCATGTTGTATTTATCCAAATGGGAAATAGTATATCACTGAGCTAAGGGGAAACAAAATACACAGCACACCCCAAATTTGTTGTTATATCTTGTTGACATCTTGCTGCCGATCACAATAATTTTTAACATGAAACGGTGTCATATTACAAAAGTATTTTATATGAAACTGAAACTTTCACTCGATAGGGAAGTGTAGTACTTAATTGCTTTTTAATTCTAAATTCTACACGATTTGAAAGATTGATTAATTAAAGTAATATGTCTGTATAATGAAACTATAAAATATACACTGTATTGCTTTTTTTTTTTTTTTTTTTAATTTTATCGCTTATTGTTGTCTACATTCATTATACACTCACTGGTCACTTTATTAGGTATACTCTGCTAGTCTTTGGCTGGACTTCCTGTTGCTTTTAGAATGCTTTAATTCTTCATTGATTAGATTCAGCAAGGTGCCAGAAGCATTTTGATTTTGGCACCTTGCTGATGGCATCATACAGTTGTTGTTGACTTTTTGGCTGATGTGAATCTCCTGTTTCTTACATGCCAAACATTTGCAACAGAATTGGGATCAGGTGACTGTGGAGGCCATTTAAGTACCGTGAATTCATTGTTATGTTCAAGAAACCAGTTATAGATGATTTGGGCTTTGTGACATTGCATGTTATCCTACTGGAAGCAGCCATTGGAAGATGGGTACAGTGTGGTCATAAAGGCATAAACATGGTCAGCAATAATATTCAGGCAGACTGTGGCTTTTAAACAGTGGTAATTGGTACTAAGGAGCCCAAACTGCACCAAGAAAAGATCCCGCACAGCTTTACCAACCTGAATTGTTGATATATGGCAGTATGGATCCATGCTTGTTGTTTGTGTTTGTTGTTCATGCTGTTTATGCCATCTTGACCCTACCATCCAAATATCATTGAAGTCCAGACTCATCATCCTCCATTGTCCAAATTTGGTAAGACTGTGTGAATTGTAGTAACAGTTTCCTGTTCTTAGCTGGCAGGAGTGACACTGTATATGATCTTTTGCTGCTGTAGTCCAGCTGCTTCAAGGTTCGACATTTTGTACGTTCAGACGTGATCTTCTGTGTACTTTGGTTGTAACAAGTGGTTCAGTTACTGTTGCTTTTCTATAAGCTTGAAATAGTCAAGCCATTCTCCACTGACCTCTTAAATAAATGAGACATTTTACTCCAGAGAACTGCTGCTCAATGGATAATTTCTCCTATTTTGGACCATTATCTGTAAACCCTAGAGATGGTTGTGAGGGAAAAGACCAGCCCATCTGGCACTAGTAACCATGACACGTTCAAAATCTCAGAAATCACCTTTCTGATGCTCTTCCTGAATTTCAGAAGATTGTCTTAAGGATTTCTACATGCCTAAATGCACTGAGTTGCAGCCATGGGATTGGCTGATTAGATATTTGTTAATAAGCAGTTTAACAGGTGTACCTAACAAAGTGGCCTCTGAGTGTATATACATACAAGTTTTTTATTTGTACACAGTACATCTATGAGGATTACATTATCACAATGAATGAAATGCAATGCTTGATCACAGTGCTGTGTTGTCCTCTGTACATGTCTGTGTTACAAGTGATGTGATGTGTGTGTTATGTTTTAGAGCTTGGACACAGTACTGAGTCGTTATACACCATTATACCACCAGGTCAAGTATACAGGGTGGCAGTATCAGGAACCTTTTACTAACCCTCTCTCAGTACTTTTCCAGTCTGTATTTTGCAAATTGTGACGCTAACAGAATGCCTTGCCAGTGCGCTGGCAAACCTGTGGGATGGTGTAAATGGGTTCTCCCTGGGGTTCCTTTTGGGTTTTTTGGGTTTTAATGTCTGATGTGTGGTGATCATCCAGTACTTGCACTCTGTTTCCCGTTTAGCAAACACGCACCAGCATCACATGTGGGTGAAAAGCAGTTTGGTCATGATTTTGTTTTTTGATTCATTGTAAAGCAGTTCAGTAAACTAATTCAGTGATTCCCAACCAGATATGCTTCAGTCCCAAGGTGCGCTATTGTAGACTGAACTAGTCTAGTCTTTTACTAAATAGCGTCAGACAGTCTTCAGAATATGTAATGCTATTTAATAGGCTAGAATAGTCTAAACAGCTAAAAGGAGTGGATAAATGGTCATAATACCACAAAGAAGTAGACAAATTGTTGAAATTACAGCTGAAAATAACGTTAGCGAGTAGCTGAAATGCATGGCTAATAATTAAGCTGTCAACATAGTCAGCTAAAGGCAGCTAATAGATACACATTCAAGATGTCAGCTAAAAGGAGCTAGTATACCATTGAAATTATGGAAGTAACACTAGCAAATAAGTGCTTTAGCTATTTAAAGTGTTTAAGTAACTACAGCATGTGTCTAAAAGTAGCTAATAGACAGTCAAAATAGTTAGCCAATGAGATCTGATAAAATAAAGTATTAGCTATTAGTTAAACCAATGATTTGCCTAAAATTACTGATAAAATTAGAGTGGTAATCATAAGGTGAACTGTAGAAAAAAACATATGAAACTAGTATATTGCATAATATTATATAGGTTGTGCAAAGTAACCCCCTAAAGTGAAATCAGTAATTGAGATATGATTCCCTTGCCACATGACAAAAAGGTTGGGAACCACTTTTCTAAATAAACCAAATCAAATGTTTTGCATTGAATTACATTCAACTACTCATTTAACATAGCTAAATATCACAGCGACACCAATTTGATTTATTAATAGCGGACAACTTTTAAATACTAAGCTGAATGATGCTAATGTAAATTTTATTTGAACACAACAAATAATTTAATGGCAAAATATTAAAACCAAACAAAGAAATCAGCTTAGGTTGGGTGATAAACCCACTGTCTCTTCTCCCCACAGAGCAACAGACGGTGGTTCTTCTGCCCAGATCCTCTTCTGCCTCCAAGACATACTTGCCCATCCCAGTTGACCACCTAGAGGAGGAATACAGGCTCCGCTCAGCTGATGATGGCAAGCTGTTCAGGGAGGAGTACAATGTAAGCCGCCCCACTTCTATTTATTTATTTTTTTCCTGGAAGTTAGATTAGCGGTAGTTAACGGTAGTCACAAAGCAGTTTTGTGTGGTTTAAACAATCAGAGTGATGGCTTACATCAGGCATGTGAGGCAGGGCTATTATGGTGCATTCATGTGCATTTGTAGGTCTGTTGAAATATTGGTTCACTTTTTTCCTTTTTTAAACACACTGCAAGTGCCTCCCCACCTCTAATTCTATGCATGATTTACCGGTGAAATTTAGTTACTTACATTTTAAACCTTCACGCAGTGTTACTAAGTAACACTGCGTGAAATGTTTTACAATGGTCAAACTTCGTCATATCTGTGTTGTGGCAACAAAACTATCACAAACTATCCAAAACTGGACTGAAAGGGTTTTCCCATAACTGTAATGTTCTCCATGTTCATATGTGAGCAAGAGTTCAAAACCATGACTTACATGTGTATTTTTGTTCAGGGAAAACTACGGGAGCTTTATTTATTGCACCTCCCATGACACATAACTGATCTGATACTGGTCTGATACATACACCCACGCAGATGGAAAAAATACCCCTTCGTCTATATGTGTCTATGATTTAGAATTTGTATCAAAATAAAGAGTATGATTCATGCTTTATGTTAACACATTGAAGTATGATTTCATTTAGATGGTTTATCAGTACAGACAGAGGAAGCTGAAGTTCTCAGCTTTTAATGGAGAACTGTTTATGGCAGGCAGCAGAGGAAGTGCCTACACTAAGGCTGAACAAAGCCTTGCATAGAGCAGAACACAATGCACTGGCCGTGAGCTGCTGACGAATCATTTTTCATTATGTGCGCGTATATTCAAAACTATCATTTTATTTTGCAGTCCTTGCCAGGGGGTAATCCCCAAGGGACATACGAAGAAGCAAACAAGGAAGAAAATAAGGAGAAGAACAGATACCCCAACATCCTTCCCTGTGAGTATACTTTCTGTTCAGTTTTCTGAGTCACACCTACAAGCTTCCTGTCCCATGTGTCACATGCCTCAAACACTCTTGTTTCCCTTGCTACAGTAGATTCTTCAGAAGAGTGTGTGTGTGCATTTGCAATGAAGTGGTTTCATCACAAATCTTTTTTACTTGCGGTTTCTGCTGTATTTTCACAATGCATCACGGTTTAGGTTTTTTTAAACTGTTCTTCACCTGAAATAAATGGTTTGAATTCCATGGAAACATGTTCATTTGCTTTCAAGGCAAGAGCTACCACTTATTTTAATACAAACCTTCTAGTCACCCTATCACAAAGACTTGAAATATATACTTCCTATACTTTTACGGAGCCATGTTTCTATTTTGGAACCCTCAAAAAAAACCCCAACCTAACCCTGGCCCTGAAGGAACCCCAACCCCCCACCCAGCTGTATTATGATTGGCTGCACCTTGCAAACTGAAAGTTTGAACAGCAGGTTGGAGGGGCTGCTGTGCTGACACAGTCAGAGCTATGACCACGTTAATGACGGATTAGTGATTGTTGGAAGCCAGATTTGTGAAATACAGGTTTTATAGAATTTATAATGAGACTAAGTTTGCCCAAGAGCCACAGATGAATAGAATAAAATATAAATAATTACTTAATTTCAAGGGGAAGTGGTAAACAAATTTGTAAGAACAAAGGTGGTTACATTCTACGGTTCTTATGTCATAGCGTTTCATATAGTCCTTGCTGTGTTAGCTCTGCAGATCAGTAATCACAGTACGTCTCTGTGCTATCAACAAGCAGCTGCGTTGTCTCTGCAGAGCCAAAACATCCAATTCCATCAAAAACACTCAGGTCACTGTACTTCAACAGACTCCACTGAGAGAAAACTGTTTCAGGCCTTTTTAAATAGAGACCAAATACCAAAATGATGACATTGGGAATCACTTGAACATACACTGAGTGCAGTATTTTCAGCTTTCTCCAGGTTTAAGGGAATACGGGTCTGCTGTAAATATATACAAATAGCGTAAACAAATGACAGTAAACCAGAAGAGCCTTAAAAAAGTTACTGCTTGTTTAAAGGCTTAATGCCAAATTAGTCAGGCAGTCTGCTGATTGTAGCTTCAGACTGCACAGACATGCTTTAATCTTCTCATCCAGCCATCTCCAAGAAAGCAAAAGTATATTTCTCAATATATATATTTTATAATCATTTTTAATAATGTAGTAATGATACACATTGTAAACTGATTTAAAAGTTGCATTTTTGCTAAATTTGTGGTACTTTTCATTGCAGATGATCATTCTAGAGTGGTGTTAACAGACCTGGAGGGAAATCCCTGTTCAGACTATGTGAATGCCTCTTACATTGATGTGAGTCCTTTTTTGTGCCAAAATAGTGAATTTGAGCTTGAACTCTTGAGCATTTAAATACTTGTCTGATCTCTACCATTTCAGGTGAAAAACAGTGAAGATTATTAATCCTATATTTATTTTTGATTTTTTTTAAAATAGGGTTTCACGGAAAAGAACAAATTCATAGGTGCACAAGGTAAGCTATAGGGCATTTAGAAACATGACATAATTATCGCTCTATATATTTTTAGTTTTAAATTGTGGTTTAATTTAATTTTTTTCTGGGGGGGGGGGATCTGTTAGGTCCAAAAGAAGACACCGTAGCAGATTTCTGGCGGATGATTTGGGAGCAGAAAGTATCAACCGTTGTTATGTTGACAAATCTGAAAGAAAGAAAAGAAGTAAGTGATTTTAAACGTTGTTCATAACGGGAGTGCTTCAGTTGTCATGTGGTCTCTACAGCTATAACTACAGTGTTTGCTTCTTCCACCAACTCTCGTCTCTAACAGCATTTTGGACAAGGGAAGTGAAAAGTAAAGTTTCCCTTAAGCACATGTAAATATAGATTTCATTGGTTGTGGTCAAAGGTGGTGTCAGATGATGTTATCTTGTCTGACGCCTGTTTCTCTGCTACACGTTAAGGGAAAAAGTATTTTCCCTGTTCCTGATTTCTTATTTACTTTCTTATTGTTGCACTTACATGTTTTGTATCAAAAAATTTCCATATTAAACAAAAATAACCGGATTAAATACAAAATGTAGTTTTGAATTTATTAAGGGGAAAAAAAGCTATCCAAACCTACCTGGCTCTATGTGAGAAATGTTTGACTGTTGATCTACTTAGAAAATGCTGCAATGTTTTTATATAATATGTAACTGTACACAAACTTTACAAAAAGTTTGCACTGGATAGTGTCTTTCTTATATCTTCCCTCATCTTGAACACTGACCTTAACTGAAGCAAGTGAGGCCTGCAGTTCTTTAAATGTTGCTCGGGATATTTTTATGACATCTTCGATGAGTCTGCGATGTGCACTCGGAGTACTTTTGGTAGGCCACCCACTTCTGGGAAGGTTCATGACTGTTACAAGTTTTCTCCACTTGTGAATAATGGTTCACTGGAGTCACAAAGCCTTAGAAATGGCTTTGTAACCTTTTCCAGACTGATATATGCTTCTTTAGATCGTAGCATGATGCTCTCAGCGTACCACATTTTATTAAACAGGTTCTATTTAAGGTATTTCTTGATTCAATTACTTTTTCACACGTGGTCAGGTACGTTTTTATAGTTTTTTCCCCTTAATAAATGGAATGAGGTTTTAATCATTATTTTAACAACTGCATTTTGTATTTACTTGGATTATTGTTGTCTAACATTAAAGATTTTTTTGATCTGAAGTAGGGCAAATATGCAAAACACTAAAATCAGGAAGCGGGTAAATACTTTTTCACAGCACAGTACTTGAAGTGTTTTTACTGTGAGCAAAGGTGACTTTATTAACAAAGGATCGATAAAAATAGGGAAGTATTAAAAAGGGTGTTAATGTGTTCAAATCAGCTGTCATATAACGTGTGAGATAAAGTCGTCCAAGGTAGTATCATAATCAAGTAAAAATAGATATGGAGTGGTTTCACCGCTCTCATATACTAACTGCTTGCTTACAGACGGAAGTCATGCAAGGTACCCGTTTGTCTTAATAAAGGAAACTCTTTTAGATGTGACACAGACAGTTGCTTTAATCATTTATTCATTACAGCACAGCGTCTCCGTGGTTATAGAAAGAGGGTCCTGGGTTTGAACCAGGTTTCTCTGGGAGATTTAGTTTTCTCCTGCCATCAAAAACATGCTAATCGTGTTAATTTCCATCACTGCACCACTTACAAAGACACAGCTTTATATTTAAGATGGCAAAAGCCAGAGAATCAGTTTTGCTATGTAGATCAGTAAAAATGAATACTAATATTAATGGATATCATCTCTCTGCAGGACAAATGTTACCAGTACTGGCCAGACCAGGGTTGTTGGACTTACGGAAATGTGAGGGTAGCGGTCGATGACTTCACAGTCCTGGTGGATTACACCATACGCAAGTTCTGTGTGCAATATGTAAGTTTTGACCATTGACTCTGTTATTATTGCACATAGTATGCATACATTATAAATTGTGGTTATTTTTTTCTGATAGCAAATATATCCAGAACTATGGATAAAATCAATTGCCACCATGACGCTGGTTAGCGTTAACAGCTTCCTGTCTAGTCTTTAAACTCAATACATAACACTCAATAGTAGCACTTGGCACTTGTCAGCAACACTTGGCTAGAATTAAACAAAGTTTCACCACTCATAATAAACCAGAATCCATCCATTATCACAGCAATATATTGTATTTATCACCACCCATCCAACCCATCCAGATTTACCAATCCCATAAAACAACCAATCTTTTGCTAAGTGGTACTGGGAACTGAAATCTCACGTACAGTTTTCTTAACACTTTCACAAAAACCTTGCACTTTGTCATGCAACCACAGAACATAAATGAAATTCCCCTTTTGAGACTTACATCTCTAACAGATTGGAGTAGCAAATGAAACTGGAAAAGATTTGTACTTACTTTTTGTGATATTGCTTTGATATACTTAATAACTACTCTTAACCATTTAATGTCATGTTAATGTAGTTTTCCCAAGTATTCTTAGGGGTAACATGGTTCTGTTACCCATATGCTGAAACAACATAG